CCTTATCAAGACTGAATGGTAAGAATAGCTGGACATTTGCATAATTAATTTCCTTTATTATTTAAATTGCCCTCGAAATTGCTTTAGAATAACATTCATTTTGTACATCTCATTTTTAGGTTACAGCTTCATTGAAATGTAAATATGAAATCTTGAGTCTTTAAAAGCACAATGCAGAACCAATTAGTGCAGGTGCCCATTATGAAATTCTAGTGGAGACTTTAGACCTGGACAAGAGCATAAAGAACCTGACCTTCTGCCTCTTTCATCATATTGATCTGTGTGATGGAAATTATTTTTAAAAGAATATGGGGAAATGTTTGCAATATTTTGAAAAAAACCTATTGTTTAGTCTCAGATATAATCTTGTGCACTAAAAGATCTGGGATCTGTAGTTAGTAAAATGATGAGATATATTAATGCTGGCAATTTCACACGCTAGAAATAGTTTAAGCTCTCTCTCAATTACATCTTTTTAAGAGAAAGCTGAATAAATGATGAAAGTTTACCATAGTGATTCAATCCACAAATACTTGAAAAGTTCCTTAAAATGTAGTAACTGAGGCATGAATATTGTACTTCACAGTGTAAAGTATGAAGAAGAAAAAGGGAAAACACATACTCACATTAGAACAGTTTAGTACCAAAGGGAGCTCCTGAACAATAAATTTACCAAGTCATTGCCTCTGATACCGATTGCTTATACTTACTGTTTGTCTATTATTATTACTTTTATTAATATTATTACTACTACTATTATCTTTTTGTATTCAGTTACAAATTCACTTAGCTAACAGCATATCTGCATATCTGTCCTCTGATTTTATTCTATCTTGAACTCTATCAGTCTTGTTTTGGGGAACATATAAAATCATATGCACATCAAATATACAAAGACTAAGTATTTTTGAGATATCAGCCAATTATACCTAGTAGCCAAGCAGGGGAAAAAAATCATTTCCACTCATTCTACTCAGAAAAAAATCTCTCAGTAATTCTAAGACTCTGATATTTGAGTGAAATCTCAGAGCATAAAACAGACATAGATTTAGACAAATCCTGACATTTTGTTATTTCAGAGGAACGAAGTCACTTTGAATAAATCATATAATATTTTATTTTTTGATTTTATATATAGGGCATTATTTAGATTTAGAATTTGTTTTATTATCTTTATGAAATACTACAAAGATCAGATGCATTAATATATATTGAAACAAGTTTCCAAACTACCAAGTATTATAAACATTTAAAATATTTCTGAATATGTGACCCTTGAAGTTTCTAATTGCTTTCAGCCTCAAATTTTAAATTTCTTTAAGTCAATCAAAAATAATTTATTGGACAGAAAATAAGCAGAGTGAAAATCCATGTTCATCGGGACTTCAGTTGCACAAGATAATGAATTATTGAAGATCTGTACAGAGCTATCAGATCCTTTAAAAATATAATATGTGGAGATGTTCACATTCTAGCATCCCTGTTTTTGTGTGACAACTGCAGAAAAACAGTTAAAATATAACCTCTAACATGATATCCAGACATTGTAATAATAGCAGGTGAAAAGGTTAGGTCACCATCAAATGTCCAAATCATATCATAACCTCACATTTCACATCCAAATTATTTTTTCCCAGTAGACTGGAAATAGAGATTCAAACTGCATAACCTTTCATCCAACATCATTGCTGTGCTAGAGAGAGGCTTAAGTAACTTAATTTTTCTCACAAAACCTGATGTTGATATTTGGCAGCTCCTAATCTGGCTCTGTGCCCTGACATGAATTGCAGATTCTCTGTGCTCCTTTTCATAGGAGTTTGAGGAGGATGAAAGCAGATGCAGACAAATGCAGATGGAGCCCAGAGGCCAAATAGCATGAGGCTACACAGTACAACAGGAGTAGATTTGGCAGCCTGATGCTGTTTTAAGGAAGAAAGATAATTTTCTATAAAGTAATTAGATAGTCACTTAACTCAAACAAACCATTTCGATGATTGTATTTTGTTTTAGAAATGTTAGGAGATGCTATTTGGATGTAATTAAAATTAGGCAGTTGTTGTTGCTTGTTCATAATTTTGATAGTCAATTTTGGTTATTTTTTAAGGAGAATAATGGGATTTTAGGTTTTAAAGTGATATTTAAATTGGATCAAATCCTCATTGATCACCACAAAGTCAACATTCACCTTTTCAAATAAGTAAAACAAAATGAAAGATTGTTGTTTCCTGGTCTGGCAACTTTAAATTGTATCTTTATATTCTTTGATTTTTCTGGTTATTGCCCTTAACTTTAATCCTTAATCCCCAACTCTGAGAAAACCAGAGTCTCTCTTACCTGTTCCTCCATCAAGAGTTTTCCCAAAATGATTGGCTTCTGTGTACTTGGTATTTCATGGTGTTGGAGCATTTTCACACATCTATTGGAAAACTCTCCAATAGTATATTGTATGGCCTTTCTAATCTACTTTATTCATTCTGCCTTGTGAGTGTGACTAAGGCAGATTTGTATGGATCCTCTTCTTACCCACAAAAAGTGCCTATTATTTATCAATTCCCTCACCAGTTATGTTTCTTCATGGAACATTTATAGTTTAAATATATTAATTTCAGAGACCTTAAACTTTGATATACTTTTTTTTTAAACTGAGGTGGCATTGGTTTATAAAGTTCTTGTTTGTTTGTTTGTTATCTGACCCTTTGGTTGATCCATTTCACATGTAGATGACACCTTGCAATATTTTTTTTCTTCAAATAGTGAATATTTTTTCCAATTTTTGCATGATTTATTTCTTATCTTTAGGACAATGAAAAATGAAAATGATGATAGTGGACACACTTATGTATTTGTGATATACTAGCATTTCATCATCTGGTTTATGTTTTTTTAACACTCACAGTTGAATTAAATATGTCTTTTTTTTTCTTCCACTGCTAGTACAATAAGCACAAGTTAGTGGTAATGTTACAGGGCAGCCCCGATATAAAACAGGTTGCCTGGCTGTGGGTCCCCACCCGCGCGCCTAAAAGGGACTTATTAATACTCCACTGCAGACACACACAAAAGGTTAATAAAAGGTTGATTTACAAGGAAAGGGGAAATGAGGAAATGTACAACTCAGAGAAAATAGGGAAATACAGTCTTGAATGTGTCCTACCCAATCCGCCAACCTGGAAACACAATGGCACTCTGAGAGCTGGCCGAGAGCCGCGAGCTGGCCGAGAGCCAAAAGGGGCCCGTGAAGGCCCACATGTCTGGTTTTATACCAAAACTGGCTGCTTAACTCCACCCTCAGGCTCCAGCAACCTTCCCTTTGGTGGTGATGGGATTTGTCTTTCCCAATGTCCTGATGGCTTTGGTCTGGAGTAGGGGTGGAGTCCACAAAGCCTTTATGGAATTAGCTCAGGACATCCTTTTCCCCCTAACAGTAGTAGTATAATAGTTTCGTTTTGACTTTTAATCATGAAATATGTTGATTTTTTTTTTTCCTGAATCTACTGAAATTCCCTCTCTCATCTTGGCATGAGATCAAAGTTTCCCTTATTCCTCTTTTAATGTAGTAAATTGTGCTAATTGATTCCCCAATATTATCTCAATCTTGAATTAAACCCAGTTTGTTGATGGTATTTATGCATCACTGGACCTGGCTTGCTAATCTGTTGTTTAGGATTTTTGTATCTGTGTTTATGGCAGACTCTAGATAATAGTTTTCATTTCTTGTGATATCCTTGTCAAGTTTTAAAGTAAGATAATGAGGTTTTTAAGTAAAAAAGTTGATTAATTTTTTTCTATCATTTAAGTTTGTGAGAATATTGCTGTCATTTTTTTTTTTTTTAACTATCTGAAAGTATTCACTGAAGGAATGGAGTCTTTAATGTATTTAAGGGAGAGGTTTAAATTATGAATTCAATTTATTCACTAGATCAAGGGCAAGAGCTTTTCTTCTTGCTTCTGAGTTTCTCCTTAATCCTCAAGAATTACAGCATTCCATCACAGAATGCCCACAATTTTTGGAACTCTTTCTGAATCTTAGCTACCATGGTAGCAGTAGCAAAAAGGAAGAAACAAGAAACGCTGGTGTAAAGAAGCCAGTGCAGAGCCAGATCAAATAGTTTTTCAATTCAATTATAGATAAGGCATCAAATGGATATTTCACTCTCATTAAGTTAAAAGCAAAGATATCAACATTGTTCACATGAATATTCTTAACTTTATATTAATTCTCATCCCTTGCTGTTATGACTTTCTTTTTCTATTATTATTAAGTTAAACAGAATTATAATGGTGAAGAAAAACTTTTTCAACCTTGTAAAAGAGATACAATGTAAACGCTGCTAAGAAATCTGGCACAATGAATAAATGGGCTAAGTTTTATTCATTTGTGAGTGGTTTTAGTTTGTACATGTTATTGTATGTTCAATTTTCAAGGTTTAATCTTTAAACCTATTGTAATTGTATATAATATAGTTAAAACATTATGCCATCTTTGTAATATACAAATATTTTAATGTTAATATCTCACCAAGTATTTGAATTTAAAACAATTATAAAAATACTGTTTTGTTTTCTGTTAGCAATAAAGTGTACCTATGCTAAATAATATAATATTTATCTTAGAAAGGTTACTGGAATTAGAATATCGCCAGAGTTATTTTCTTGGTGAAATGTGCAAATTTATCTAATTAATATAGATTATTCAGCAATGATCTTAAAATCATTTAACATAATTTCACCTTTGTATATTGTTTTCAACTTTTTGTGAATTCCTAAGATTGGAAGTCATTTTACTAATAACATAACTTGATGTGTTAAATGAATTTTAATAATATAGATGAAAACAAGGACTAAATACATGTTCTTTTATTAATAGAGAAAAAAAAATCAAGTATAACCTTACCTTTCTAAACTAGTCTTTTTCTCTAAATACATACAAAAGTAACCCAGTCCAGTGCTACATATAGCACTCATTGAATCACCAAGGTTGATCTTGTATGACATCACTATAGATGACACAAAATGCGTGGCTGTTTTCTAGTACTAGGAGAAATCAGGCTTGCAGGTAATTCAGAGATCACAGAAATGTAAGTATGAATGTGTGTTTAAAATGTAATAACACTACTAAATATCTACATAAAATTGGTAAAAATTGCAGTTGTAACTGCTTTTAAAAATGTTTCTTCAAGTCTCCAGAGGTGGAGAGTGGGGGGTAGAGAGAAAAGAGGGCAAAGGATCCCAAAGGAGTGTGATGGGGGATTATTGGTACTTTGGTGGTGGGTGCGGTGTGGTAAAGTACATCTGAAGAGATGTGAACCTAAACCTCTAAGTCATATACAGTGCCATAAGCCAACATTACCTCAATAAAATATACTACATTAAAAAAAAAAAGTTTCTTTGTTCTTTTCAAAACCAGAAATTTGTTTTAAATCAATGGTATTTCATCAATAACAAGTAATTTAATTATAAGTAATGAATGTACTGGGAGATTAATAGTTTCCTAGCAGTAATTTAGCTCAAAGTTTAACTCATTTTTAACACAGACATTTTGATGCATTAACCTTCATAAATATGTAATATGTGTAATTTGCATGTGCTGAGATTTAAACTTAGTCTGTTATATCAACCTAATAGTTAATTTATTGACTTTGTAATTTCAGTTTCCTCCTACAGTGAGCCTGACTAAGCCTTGTTTAGAGCCTTGCTATAGAGTTTTTTTGTGTAAATCAACACAATTCTAAATGGAAAGAATTCTCAAATTTATGACCTTTATGTTGCATATAGCATTAGTCCATCTTTGGTAAATCCCAAAACAGCTGGAGTGTAGATATTTTGCTGAGATAAAATACTAAGAAACCATGATTGTCTCTGCATCAAAGTGGATAAATACAAGGAAGATGTTGCACTTGTTTTCTTCTTTGCTCTCTTGCCCCCAAGATCAAAATAAACTCAACAATGAATCTTACGATGTGGAAGAATATCTTCAGAAAGAAAATAAGGTGACCAGAGATGAGAATAAGGCTCTAAGAAAAGAAAACAAGTTCCTCTGGGAAGAAAACAAAGCTCTTCGAGAGGAAAACAAAGCCTTCCGGATGGACAACCAATTAATCCAGGAGCAGAATCAATTCCTGAGGCAGCAAAATCAGGTCCTGTGGAAGTTTAAAGCTGTGATTTTAGAAAACCTAAATCCACCGGGAGAAAATATCAATGCCTTGAACACAGAAAGAAATTCTTATTGGCTACAGGATCATGTCCTAGAAACTCAGATCGAGGGTATTAGAGAACAGAAAAAAGCCTTCCAGAAAGAGGCAAAAGCTCTTCAAGAAGAAATAAGGTCTCTCTATGAAGAGATGAAGGCTCTACAACACCAGGAGAGAGCAATCAAGATGGAGGAACAAGCCCTGATGAGAGAAGGGGTAGCTCTAGAGTTGGAGGAACAGGCTCTCTGGAAAGAGGAAGAGGCCCTTCGTGAGGAAAACAAGGCACTTAGAGAAGAAAACAATGCTCTTCAAGAGGAGGAGATAGCCCTTCTGGAAGAGGCAAAGATCCTCAAGGAGTGGAATAAGAGGCTTCAGGAAGGAAACAACCAATCAGCTGGCTGGGAAAATGCATAATAAATGGAGCAGGAATAATGTGACTTGAAGACAAACTGGAAAGCCATGAAAATCACTGACATTCCAGAAAAAATTACAAATTTTGAAGATGAAATAATATTGTTGGAGTGCGGGAGTCAAAATCTTGAAAATCTACAATGCTCAGAATTTGGCCCTAGAAACTAAATAAAGCTCTGAGAGTTAAAAAATAAGGATTATTTAGGTTTACTTATATTTCAACTATGATTGGTCATAAATGATATTTTAGAGTGTACAAAAAAGTATTTTTCATAACATATGACACTGAATAGATCAGCCAAATTTCTTTATTTTTCAGAGGCATTGGATCAATGTTGTAAGAAATTGAGTGTAGAGGAAATGTTTGTCTTAAAACTTGATCTTAGAATTATGAACAACATATTGAAACATGATGTTGCATACTTCATATCTATTTTAAAAGATTATAGAAGAATATCTTTCCTGTCTCTCTTTCTATGCTTACTCCAATGAACTAGTTGTGGAGTCCAGAAAATACATGAATTTTAAAAATATGTGGTAGTACACAATTACTGTATTCATAAACTTCCTCAGTTTTTATTTTTCCTCTCAGTAATTGTCCTTTGCTTGTTGGGATGGGTGCTATTGTATTATTTAATGGAATAATAATTGCATTCAAGAAAAAAAAAAGTGATAGAATGAAATTTTCCAAATAGGGGGTTGGAAATTGGGAAAGAAAGAAATGAATTTTTCAGAAGTGGCAATTTTTTAATGATTTATTTATGCATACAAGAACTGGGGTACAGGCCAGAGGTGTGGAGGGTGAATGGATTCACCAGAGACAGAGTGGGGAATGAGTAGGCGAATTTGACTAAAATACACTGCTGATGGGAGCAGTGGGCGAGACAGGAAAGGTCTGCTGTGCCATACTGTTTAGCTCCCTAGTCTGGGGTCGAACTTGTGCTGCAGTGGCTGTGGATAGTTTCATAGTGCTGAGCTTTAACCCCTTGCACCACCAGGAGGCCATAAAAGTATCAATTTTGACAATTGATCTAATCAATGTTATTTAAAAACAAAAACATTTCTGCAAATACTGAGTCACATGGATTCATGGGTTTGTTAGAATTGAACATGTAGTTGCAGAACTCTAGATTACACATTTCCTTTTCCTGTTGTGTTTATTGAGATAATGTTGGTTTATAAATTAAAAAATCTAGAAATACATGTTTCACACCATACCAATATCTAAGCCCCAATAATCCTTCACTGTGATCCATTGAGCCCTGTCCATTCCCAAATACCGCCCCTGCAATTCCTCCACCATCCCCTTCCTATTGCCTCAGTTGTCCAAGGATAGCTATTGATTTGGTTTTGTCTGACCCTTTCTTCTCTTTATCTGTATTCCAAATATCAGTGACACCAGCCAGAATTTACCAATCTAATTCTGACTTCACTTAACATATCTCCTCTAGTTCCATCCACACTGCCACAAATGACACCAGTTTTACCTTTTTTATAGCTAAGTAATATTCCATAGAGTGCATATGCCATGTTTTTCTAGTTGTCTCCTCTGTCCTTTTGCATTTAGGCTGTTTATACAATGTGGCTATTGCAAATAGTGTTCTAATGAACATAGGAGTGCATGTATTGCTTTGAATTAGTATTTTTTTTTTGCATTTTTTTGGTAGATACTAAGGAGTGAAATTGCTGCTACATATGGAGAACTATTATTTGTATTTTGATAAAACGTCTTACTATTTTCCAATAGGGGCTGAACCAGTCTGCATCACCACCATCAGATGTGTGAGATTTCCTTTTTTGCCACACACTCACCAACATCTGTTGCTTCTTGTCTTTTTGATATGGGCCATTCACATTTATGTGTGCTGGTATCAAATTATGGTTTTGTTTTGCATTTCCCTTAAGAAAAGTGATGATGATTGTTTTTTCTATATGCTTATTTTGTCATTGGTATATCTTTGGAGAAATGTCTGTTTAGCTTCTCTGCTCAATATTTGATGGGGTTAATTGTTTTCTTGTTAAGCTGCGTAAGTTCTTTTTGTATTTTGGACATAAGCCTTTTTTAAGATGTACAAATATTTTCTTCCTTTCAGTAGTGTGTCTTTTTTTAAAAAAAAGATTATTTATGCATATAAGAGCTGGGGTACAGGCCAGAGGTGTGGTGGATGAGAGGATTCACCAGAGACAGACTGGGGAACAGAACAGGCAGACTGAACAAAGTGCACTGCTGAGGGGAGCAGTGGGCGAGTCAGGAGAGGTCTGCTGCGCTATGTGGGTAGCTACCTGGCTGTCTGGTGATCAAACTTGTACTGAAGATGCTGCAGACAGCTTCATAGGTTGTGTCTTAACCCCTTGCACCAACAGGGAGGCCTCTCAGTAGTGTGTCTTTTTGTTTTACTGATAGTTTATTTCACTGTGCAGAAGCGTTTTAGATATAATCCTGATTGTTTTGTTTCTCTTGCCTTTGTACTTACTATTTCATAATAAATATTGAACACTTCATATAGGGTAGCAATTTTAATGAGTTTTATTGACTATAACTGAAGTCATATCTCATTCTGTTTCTTGCCTGGTATTGGTGAAAAGGAGTATAAGAAGATAGGAAGAAAACACACTTTTTTTTCTTTCCTAGGTGCAGACACATCTGCAAATTCAAGTTAGTTTTATTGAAAATGTCTAATTAGCACTTTGCTAAGCAATATGACACATTTGACTATAAAAGTTGAAGGATACATGTCTCCTCATTTTAAGGATTCTGTAGTCTATAAAGGAATATAAACAAACATAACCTCACTGTTAAGAGAGTCTTGCTGCCTGATTAACAGATTACTTACCACTGCTGCTCAGAATGTATATAGCATCATTTAAGTAAAACGATTTACTATAGGAACTGATTAAAAGCAAATTTTGTAGACATGCATTCAACTGATTTGGTACATTTGTCATTATTTATACCTTAAAAAGATGTGGAAGTAGCCTGCAGGCATGGAAAATGGTTTACTTAGTGTCTTGGGGATTTAAGGATATTCGACTCTATTACATAAACATCAATTTTGATAGGTTATTATTCCTTTCTCTGAAAATTCCTTGCTGTTTCTTGTGGGAAAAATAAGCTATTTTTTATGCTTTGGTGGTGAGTTCAGTGAGAGAAGTGCAATGGAGAGGGTATAGTTATCAATGACTCCTCTCAGTAAGAAAGCTCATTATTGCATCATAATTAAATCAGCAGCAACTCAAGTTAAACTGAAAGCATAGGACAATCCTCTTTGAATGCTAATCTGAGAATTGGCACTGCTACAAATAAATTTTGATTACTATTATAGCAAAGTCTACAAGTGAGAAATGATAAAATTAAGATGGGGTAAAATAATTTATGTTGATATCACTCACCATTATATCCATGATTTTTTTTTTTAACCTTCACAGACTAATTGAAAGTTCTACTAAAATATCTGGTTACTATCATATCTATGAAATTACTTATCAAAAACTATATATACCCATATAAGTTGGATATCATTAAGCATGTATTAAAAGTTTTGCATATGTATTTCTAAATATCAATCTTATTGAAGTTATATGTTAAATGAGGGATTCTTCTGAAAGAAAAATAGAGGTAATTTCTTCTCAATATCAGAAATTTCTAGACTTTCTCTCATGGTTTCCAGTAAAGGGACTCACTTGAAGCCAATCTGAATGCCAAATGCTCCCTGAGGGATTGCCATAGATCCTACTGGAGCAGCCTGGTACACCAGTAGGCTGCATCCTACTGGTGCAGCCTGACATCCCGAACTAGAGGGCTGCTGGAGAGAAGGCAGAACAGAATGGCCATTTGTCACCCTTTAAAAGGGAATGATTCATCTGGGCTCTCTGTGTCATCAGTTGCTGTGGATGACCACAGAGCTGCTCATAGACAGACAGTGGACCTTCACCAGGAGGGCACTTAAGTGGTGGGGTCATACCTCAACAGTGGCCGTCCTCTGCCACATACTGCCAAGTCCTGACTAGCAGCAACAGCGCTTGAGGAGTCTTTACCCTGTGGGTAAAGTCTTTACCCCAGCTCCAGAAACTTCTTTTGGAGTTCTGTCGGAATAATAGAATGCATGTTAAATTTACTGGGGAAAAAAAAACAAAAAAAAACGAAAAAAAACAAAACTTGGGAACCTGGCTCATAGTATTACTATCCGTAGTAGATTATTAGTTATTTTGTGTACTGGAGATATGTTTAGGGACTATAATAGACCCAGATAGCAATCCTGAGAAAATGATTCTTAAGGTATCTTTAAAGGGCAATCATTGCATAGTTAGGGATTCTTATTAATTTTGGTCACTGATGTTGAACTTGTTATACTATTGAGGGGATAAAGGCAAACAAAAAACACATCTGATAAGCCAAATTATTTGTTTTTCTTCTCTCTCATTATTTTGTGCTTATTTATTTGAATATCTTAGAATTAAAATGTTACAAGGCATTTACAGTTGAACAAAGACTTTTTATGTTCTGTTTCTTACATTTTTAGCATTATCTGACTTACTGGTTAATTTACCAGTTAGCATTAACTAACAATTTGCTTATAGCTATGCATTTCTTTAAATAAATTATTAAATAATTAGAAAAATATCTTGACTGATAACTGCAGTGATAATTAATGCTGTCTAAATCATTATTAATAGACTGTTTAATTTACATGAAAGTGTAAACACAGTCTGTTATTCCTAAGTGAGGAAATTTCAGAATAATGTATATTAATTTCACATTTTCAACTGAATGTACCATGACGTATATTGCTAATTTCTTACATATTCCAAGAAATTAATTCCAATATTCTATTTTTTCTCTTTTTTAATTAAAGTAACAGATTGCATTATAACATTTTATAAGCTTCACATGTTCACTGAAAATCAACATGTGTATATAATACTAGATTTAGTTAACCATGGAAATTTCACTTCTAGTTGATATCAAAACAGAAGACAGAGTCGAGAAGCAGCTCCTTTTACCTAAATCTCAACACTGGAAAAACATAGAGGAAAATGGGGAAATAACTGGAACACAGATTTCCTACCCATAGAATAGTACAGAACAGCACCTAAAGGCAGCAAACCTTCACTCAACCCTAAAGTTGGAAAGCATGTCATAAAAAAAAAAAAAAAAAACAGAACACATATTATGAAACATTATCAAATCTCACTTTTCAAAAAATAGGTAAG